TCTGTCTTCCTTAAGCAGAACCCGAGCAGGTGTTCAGGCCTATGTCTACTCTCACTTTCTGCAAGGTAGGGCTTTGTTTGCTCTTCTCCGTCATTAGGATGAGAAGAGCATTCTTAAGCACAATTCATTTCTCTCCTGTGTGTTTAAGACAAACTTAGACCTCAACTGAAAGGGGTATGAAGTATTAGGACTTAAAACAGTGTGTGAAAAATTGACTTTCTGTGTTTGTGTGTATAATGTGTCAAAGTGTTAGATGTCTTGCCTTATCCCTCTTTCTCTTATGCTACCCTGCCCTCTAATTTGAACATGTAACAATTTTTTAGTAAAAACTCCATAATGCAAGTTGATTTCATTTGCTGATTGGCTTGGAGTCCAGTATGAGATACATGTCTGTATCTCATGTTTTTGATACAGAATTCCAAGTAGAACGACAAATATTAAAAACAAAAGAAAATAAAGAAGAGAAACCTTATCCTTTCTTGATGCTTGCTGGTGTAAAAACATCATTACAACTTCTCACAGTCCACGAGTTGTGTGCTTTCATTGGTATGTGAACCTAGTAGAATGATCTGGAAACCAAATTTTGTTGAGCACTCATGTATCATTGTGGCACCTGCAGAACAACAATTATCATCATCCTGTGCCAGCTGGAATTGTTCTGTCTTCCAATACTGTATTTAGGAAAAACTTTTTGTACCATGTATGGTACAAATTATAGTAGCTTTCTCTTAGTGTTAGGAAGGCTAAATGAGATAGTCTACAGAATGTGCTCAAAACATCAGATATTGTCATCAGTGTGATGCCATCACCGTCATCATCACCACCATCATCAAAGCAATAGCAATGGAAACGCTCCCTTCTGCTAGAACTGCTAATGTGCTGAAAATCCACTAAATGAAAAGCAGAGACCAGCTGTTTCACCCTCTTGGTAGGATAGCTGCTTTTTTTTTTTCTAACCTTAAGCTGAATCTAGTTCTTAGAATAAATTAGAATGAATGGCAAAAATATTCCAAATGGCATAGCTCTGGGTGTTGAGAGCTGGTGGAGCAATAATAACATGAATTAAAACAGACAAAAAATAAACTTCACCTTCCAAGGTCATGAAGTACTAGAAATGAGGAAATTTTCCAGTAGCAGCTCCTGTGGACCTCAGAGGGATGTCAAGGTAACAAGGTCACGGTCAGCTCTGCAGACTTTCTGCATGTACCATGCTAACTTGCCATGCCTTCTGACTTGCTGGGATTTTCCATCCTAGTTGCATTTGCATTGGAGCCTGGAGTATTCAAATGTTAAAATGTTTCTTACAAACAAATCAATAGTATTTAGGGTGCTAAACAGAGGGAAAGCAGCCACTGTTCTCTGTTTAAGGGGTGAAAAGGAGAATTTCAATGTAATTTAAGTGGGTTTGGAACGCTTTTGTTTTAGTAGAGAACAATAATCACTGGAGCCAAGATTTTGGACAACTGGTAGACTGGTGCTTTAGAAATGCACTGAAGCTCCTGTGTCCTCATAGCATCTCTGGGGCTCTATTTGGGGTGTTTTTCAAGCCTTGCATTTCTGTTCTCATGGTAGCCACTGTCCATAGAGGGAGAGAGGAAAGGTGGGTGGACATGAAAATGGAGTTGACGATTGGCCATAAATTGCAACAATGGGAGGATGAACACCATATTGTATCCATGTAGCCTGGTCCTGAATTCACTGTCCAGAGGACCTCAGGGGAAGACTGCTTTGTGTTGACACGTCTCGTCTCTCTCCCACCCCCCAAAAAAGTATGCTGGAGTCTCAACCCTTGTACCTCAGAATGTGACCTTATTTGGAGAGAGGGTCTTCATAAGGGTAAATGATGAGTAAGGATAGGTTCTACCTCAACATGACTGGTGACCTTATATAAAGGGGAAATGTGGACATTGACATGCACAGAGGAGAAGGTCATACCTAGACAGAGGTGGAGATCAAGTCATCTGTCCCTAAGCCCTGGAGCAGCAAGACTGCAAGCAAAGCACCAGGAGCTGGAAGAGAGGCGGGCAGAGGGCATTGCAAATCTTCAGAATGAGGCACCACTGTGGCACCTTGACTTCCAGCCTCTAGAACTGTGGAGTAAGCTGCTTAGTCTCTAGTATTTCGCCACAGTATTTTGGCCAACCCCAAAAGTGCCATGGTAACAGACACAAGGTGCTGTATCCATAGGGCAGTGGAGGGCAAGGAAAAGCAGCTGTGTAGAACACTTCTGTGGAGAAATTGGTCCTCCCACAGCCCATACACACGTGTGCCAGGCAGCAAAACAACCTACTCGGTGCTGAGAATAGACAGAAGAGGGACATGGCAGATGCAGTCTTAAGCTAAAGCCACAGAAGCACAGATGTCTCTACATGTGTGGAAGGCATGTTGCTGCCAGGCCCTAGTCTACAGAAAAGAATGACTTCTGGAGAATTACACCTGCTGAGAAAAACATACAAACTTTGATTTCTCTCCGCCATTTTCTCTGCCTCCTTTAATTAGTCTTCAGATGAACAAAAGCTGTTTATTGAAGGAGTTCATATATGTTTTAGGCTCCAGGGGATGAGTAAGATTAGAATACTGTCCTCAAAAGTACTTACACTATAGCTGTGAAGATAACTATCTTAGTACATTTTCTGATGTGATAAGGAAATCTCTGAGGCTGGGTGACTTATACAGAGGGTTATTTGGTTCATGATTCTGGTGACTGGAGGTCCAAACACCATGGTGCTTGTGTGCTGGTGACAGCTGGCTGCATCACAACGTAGTGGAGAGGCAGAAAGGGAAATGGCCATGTGCAGAAGGGAAAAAGTAGTCACATGGTGAGAGAGGAAGCAAGAAAGCTGGGAGGGGTCAGCCTTGCTCTTTTACAACTATCTGCTCTCAAGGAACAAATCCACTCCCTGGAGATAGCATTAACTTCTCCATAAGGGGGTACCCCGTCTGACATAACTGCCTTGCACTAGGCCTCACACCCTAAAGGCTCAACCACCTCAGCATCCCCACACTGGGCACCTTTGGGGAAATGAGCACTTCCGAACCATAGCACTAAGGTATAAAAGACCCAGGAAATGCTCCATTTCAGGAGGCACACAGAGGTCCACTGTCAAGTAGCTGAGTGCTGCTTCCTTTGACTCTTCCCACACTGGCCCTGTCTCCTCTACAATACTGAATAATTGAGGTGGCAAAAAGAGTCTGGCTATAGTCATGACTTCAACAGCAATGTTTTCAAGTTTCGCTGTTGAGTCTTGTGCCTTCTAAAAGTGTTTGATAGCTTCATTTATCAGGCTTATAAATTTCCTTTCTACTCTCAATTTTTTTTCAGAGGTTTCTTTTTTAAAAAATCATGAACATTGTTGAATCTTATCAAATGTCTATTTTTAAAGTCTGAAATATTTTTCTCATTTATTCCTTAATAGGCTTAGATATGTGAGTAGATTTTTAAAGCTATTTAATCATTCATGCGATCCTGGGAAAATCCCAATGGGCTGATTTTTTTTTTTTAATGTGATGAGTGACAAGTTGTATTTTTCACAAATGGCTTCGAGAAGAGCTCCCCTCTCACCTGTTCTTCAGACAATAGACTTCTCATTCCACTGAGAGGCTGAATTGGGGTTCCCTTGCTGTGACTCTAAAATGTGCTGTGGCTGCGGCGAGACTTCCAAGGTCAGGTCAGAGGTGGGACTGCTTCAGCCTGCTCCTCTGGAGCTGGTGCTTCTGGCATCCAGCCACTCTGAGGACAGAAAGCCTCCGAGTCGCACAGACACCTGCCTACCTGGAGGGGAACTGTGGTCTGCAGCCCACAGCCCAGTGAGGCTGCCAGCTGACATCCAGAATCAGTGTGGCGGTGTTTGAGTGAACTGTCACAAAAGCAGGTCCTCCAGCCTTAGTGAAGCCAGCTCAGCTAAAGTGACCAGAAATGAAGGCATGTATGAAGGCCAGGCTTAGGCCCCATCACGGGCTTGTGAGTAAAATAAAAAGTGAACTTGATATAAGCCACTAAGTTTTGAAGACATTTGTTATGCAGCAATACATAACTGAGGTGTGAAAACTGCTTCTATTTGCTAATATTTAATTTATGATTTTTGCATCTGTTTTCCTAAGGAAGATCGACCTCCATTTTCTTTTCTTGTACTTGCCTTTGAGTTCTGATTTTCAAGTCAGAGTTGTATTGTCTTTTCAAAATGAGCTGAAATGTGTTTCTTCCTTTTGTAGTCTTGAAAGAGTGTGGGTAAGCTTGAATGTTTGTACTTTAATGTTTGATTAAAAAAAACTAGGGCAAAAAGCTATCTGGATTCATGCATTTTCTTTCATTGAGAGTTTTGCCCACTGGCCAAAATTCTGATTCCTATTCTGATTTCCTATTATTTCTTAAGTTAATTTTAGGATTTTCTTAGAAAATTGCCCACGTCCTCCAAGCTCTCAAAATTATGAGCACACAAGTGTCACTGTGACTAAATTATGTTCCCTCAGTCATTCACATCAGCGTTCGCTCCTCTCGCTCTTTTTCTGATGAAACCTGCCAAAAGCTGCCTATTTGAGTTATCTTCTGAATAATCAGCTTTTCATTATTCGTCTTTGTTGCTTTTAAGACACTAGAAAGAAACGAACGAAATGGTTTTCATTTCAATCAGCATTTTATTACGCCTTTCCATGTGTGTTTTGTACATCTGATTTCTCTCCTGATTTCTTTTTTTCACCTTTTCCAGGTTATTTTCCCTCTGCGGACCCGAGAGTTCCCTCAACTGCTCACCTGCCAGTTAGAGGGCTGGCCTCCCCACGCCCGCGCCGTGCCCCGCCCTAGCTCCGCCCCCAACCCCGCCCCACGAGCTCTGCCCAATAGAGAGCCCGCCCCTCGCCTAGACCCCGCCCCCAAGTCCCCGCCCAGTAGAGAGCCCGCCCCTCGCCGCGCCCTCACCGAAGTCCCGCCCGGCCGTGAGGCCCCGCCCACTAGGAAACGGAAGTGGTGGAGGCCCGGACGGAAGCAGGAAGTGGGAACGCAGGCCCAAACCTGAGACCTCGGGCTGCGGCTGCGGAGGTGGTGTCGGGCCGGCCAATGGCGGAGAAGTTTGACCACCTGGAGGAGCACCTGGAGAAGTTCGTGGAGAACATTCGGCAGCTCGGCATCATCGTTAGTGACTTCCAACCCAGCAGCCAGACGGGGCTCAACCAGAAGCTGTGAGTGGCGGCCCCGGGTGTCCTGTCCCGGTCGGGCTCTGTCCAGGGGTGGGGCCCACTGCCACCTCCTCCTTCCCGCATTCCTTGCTGGAACCTTTTCCCGAGGGCCGGGTGGAGACGGAGGCCTGGCCGGAAGATAACTGCGGTTTCGAGGCCCCCTCTGGGGAGTAAGGCTTCTTATTCAGGCCCCCCACCCCGGGGGCGACCCCGTCCTGGAGCCCCGGGGAGTTCCTGGCGACCCAGAGGGGAGGCGGGCTCCACGGTGAGCGGGGCCTGGCCCTGAGCGGCGGGGGACAGGGCCGTGAGAAAGGCCGCAGGGTTTGTTGATCTGTATTTGACACCAGCCTGCTGCTGGTCATACTGCTCGGCCGTGCAGAAAAGCAAACACATGCAGTGGACAAGGGATCACCGTTTTGTAGGGCACAGACGTGCGGGTAATTGCGACTGGGTTACACTCCCCAGTGCTGTAGGAACAGCCAGAAACTGGGCCTGCCGGCCATGAAAAGTGGCCTTCGTGGGAACTGAAGTTGATCCAGGCAGAAATGGCTTCCTTCTAACCTCGAGTATGGGTGCAAAGACTGGGCAAACGATTTTGAGAGGTTCATGTTTTTCATCTGATTTTCGAAAACGTTGATTCTCTCCACACATCCTATATTGACAAGTTCCAGGTTAGAAAGGAAAAACAAAAGTTTCCGGAGGGTATTTTCATAACTCTGTAGGTGTCCCACCAGCTTTGTGGCTAACCCGGTGACCCGTGCAGGTGTGAGGATCACTTGTGTGGAGCCCAGTGGCCAGGTGGCTGTGTAGATGGTGTATATGCTGTCCTCTGAATTAACCAAATGCCAATTTCTGCCTTTCCCTCAGGAATTTTATTGTTACTGGCTTACAGGATATCGACAAGTGCAGACAGCAGCTTCATGATATCACTGTGCCTTTAGAAGTTTTTGAGTAAGTATCATGCTTGTACAGCATTGGGCATAACTCTTGTTTAGTCATGGTGTGAGTGACTTCTTCAGTCACTGTTTGAATGCTTGCTGTGTGCTAGGTACACAGCCTAGGTACTGTGGATTTGCCAGTGGAGAAAACTGACAAAAATACCAGCCCTCATGGAACTTAATATATCAGTGGGATTTTGAAAATTAAGGAAAAAAAAAAAGAATCTTCCCAATGTTGTATTGCTGAAAAAAAAAATCACATGAAAATAAAGTAATAAATTAATAAAAAAAGCTTACTAAATATGTGAAAATATCACAGACTTCCAAGACCTATGGAAAAAAGTGTACAGGAAGAACATTACATAATTTCCTTTTTTCCCCTAGTGGTTAAATGTCTTGTGTTGGCAAATTACAAATAAAAAAAAAATTACAGCCAGGAAGAAACTGAAAAGTAATGTGGCCTACTGTTTCCTAAGCTGCCTTTGGTGTGCTGGTTGTGGGAGATGATAGTAGTTTCCATGTTGGAAGAAGAAGAAAGGTGCTAATTCAGATACCTTTGGGAAAGAGCTCTCTGCCAGGGAGAGTCTTGGGCATCTGTCACAGCATGGCCTTAAGGACACCTACAGGAAGTAAACTGTCTAAGTTTTAAGTGTGGGTTTTATCATACTGGTTCAATCATGGTCCTGATTTCACACCTGGGAGAACTGAGTAACTGAAATAGGCTGCTTAGCTAGCAAGGATCAGAGTGAAGACTGAGCCTCAGGACTTGTCCTCTGTGCTAGCATCCTTTTCTCTGTGCAGTGCAGCCTTTCCCTCCGGCACTGCCTTGGAACATTCCAGTACTTTTTGCAGCAAAAGTGGTTTCTTTGAACAAAGAAGAAAAAGTTGTGATTTTCTAATCTGAAAGACCAGAGCTAGACACAGGACATAGAGGTTGCAGTGTTCCGGATCTCTGCTGCTGATCACATGCCACAGGCTCTCTGCCTGTTCTCAGTCAGCACTACAGAGGCCTCAGTCTTCAGGTGGGGTGAAGGTCGTGTGTAGTGTGTGTGTGTGGCGGGAGGAGCGTAGCTCTGGACTCTGGTGATGGCCTCCTGCCTGTGAAGTCGGAATGTGAGTCCTTAGTGCTGCTGCTGCTGATGTGAATGAGATGGGCAAATGGCAGCTGACTCTGTGGGTCTTCTCAGGTGGGGCAGATGAAAGGAGGACCAAGAGGGAGCAGCACAGACACTAGCAGGCAGAAGAGCAGAATTCATCTGGGGTCCCAGGAAGAGGATGGTCTGTGCTAAGTAGCAGGTGCTAGGAGTTTATTTGTAAACCTTCAGGCGATGTGAGCACAGTATAGGAGGAATTTCCAGGCCCCCAGCGGCATTGTTAGCACCCACTTTTTCAGACACATGAACTGTCTGTAGTAAGGTAAAAATAAACCTCAAAGTGGGATTCAACTTTTGGTTCTTATGAGAGCCCCACCTGAGTAAGATGTCCTTGCTGTTGACAAGACAGTTTTTATTTAGGACACAAGAAATGATCAGCCTGTTGGATTTTCTTCTTTTCTTTGGAAGTGGATGGATTTTGTTTGAATTAACCATAATTTTCCTTCTTTCATTACATCGTTTTAGAGACATTGAAATAAAATGGAATTTCTAGAAATTGTTATTTGTGTTTGGCTATCTGTCACAAAGGCCGATTCTTATACCACTGACAACTTATGGGGTCATTAATCAGAAGTAATTTTTTCTGCTCTAGTTTAAAAAAATGAACTTGATGTCATGGTGGTCTTATTTATCTCTTTATAATAAGTGATTCAATTTACCTGAATCATGAAGATTTCTTCTCTTCAGGATACAGAAATAGCCAGGTAGTCTGTCACTGGTAAAATCTGGGTATTGATCTAGGGAGTGGGTTTCATGACACCTTCAGAATAATGATGGCATTTGAGTAAAGTGTTGAAAATGTCAAGAAATAACTGTAGAGAGTCTCTGATGTATTTAGGTGTATTTAATTATGGTACACTGAGTAAGTCCTTCCCCTTGGGTTCCTGGGGAGACTGGGGCATGGGGCTTTTCGGCCTGTGCCTCCCCTCTTCCTTTCTGGCAGCCCCTGAAACTCCTCTGCTCAGGGTTTCCTGAGCCATGAGGCTAGACATGGAAAGGAGGCCACATCTTATGGGCCTTCTGTGTCACCCAGGCCTGAGGGCCTGTGTCCTTTCAATGTTCTTTTGTAAGGAGCTTCCTCACTTCACAGGACAGGTTGTGAGGATCACAAAGGTACTAGCATGAAAGCATTTTGAGTAATACAAATGTAAAGTGTTCTGATTTGTGAAGCTTTCTTGGGTTTATAATTGTTACTTGATTTCATAAGTTATTTAAGAAATAATATAAAGTGGTTATAGAATTGAGAGAAGCTTAATTCACTGGGGACCTAGAATTCATGGACCCTTTTTTATCTAAGCATGTGAAAGCAAATGTAGTGAACCTTTTTTTTTTTTTTTTTTAATTTTTTGGCATAGTTCTCAGAAAACTGAGAGTAGGGATCATCATGTTAACTCAGATGTTCCATGTTTCCAGATATATAGATCAAGGTCGAAACCCCCAACTCTACACCAAAGAGTGCCTGGAGAGGGCTCTAGCCAAAAATGAACAAGTTAAAGGCAAGATTGACACAATGAAGGTAAGACTCAGAAAGAAAGTAATGTCAGAATGTAACTGAAAAGAGACACTTAGCAAAATGTGGTTAATAGACTTTGCCATAGTTGCTAGACTTGACTATTTCCCAGTGTGACACAACTGAGATTTCTGAGGTGGGTAGCAGGTAATTAAATGTCAGTGAGCCATGTAGGAGAGTAAAGCACACAGAGTAATGAGCTGTTCACTTTTACAATTGGTAGCTGTCCCTGTCTAGCTGATTGTTTTCACTTTTCTAAGACTTTCTGTCGATCTCTGTTTTGTACTTTGGTGCATCGTATTTTCTGTTGTGTTTCTGTACTGATTCTGTGTGGCGAAGGCCTTCCCTGTGTTCATGGTTCTTTGGCTTAGAGGATTCTCAAATGCTTCTTTTCTTGACTTTCTCCAGTGATTGTCTCTAGCTTTTAGTCTCCTGACTACTACAGAGAACTTGGTTTTGCTTTGCCTCGATTAGATTTAGAGCTCTGTGTCTTAAACATGAAATACATGATTTTTCTTACTTAAATTGACTGAAATATGATTTAAATTGGTGTTTGTGTGGCCTCCAGGGTCTATACTGTGGCCAGCAGCAGGAGTCCTGCTCATTCTGGGCTTCACTAGCCACCAAACCATTCTCCTGTGCTCTTTTCCTGTGCTATCACCTCAGCTTTGGAATTATTCCTGTTCTGCTTACACGGGTGACTCCTGGTCTCAGCTTATTTTACCTCCTCTGAGAGGCCTTTTGGCCCAGCAGCCTTCTCTGAAGTTTCTTTCCTGAGCATGTTGAGTTAGGGCTGCTTTCTGTCTTCTTTCTTCTGTTTACTGTGTCCTCTACCTTCTGGTCAACTCTAGTACTATGGGGCAGTTGTGTTCTGTTCCTGGTGCTGCCTGGTGCCCACCTTGTGCAGCTCAGCATGGGTGTGCTTGGCTGTGTGTGATATATGTAGGCGGATTGGTCGCAGAGAGGACTTCTGGTGCTCAGAAGGCTCTGGCTGAGTGGGAGGAGAGAGGGAGGGGCTCTGTCAGGAGACCTGCCTGTAACAGCCACGAGGCTTCCCAAATGTCATCCAGGTGATGCTGTTGGTGGTAACTAGAGGGTCCTGGAAATGGGGTTTCACCCTAGTTATTTGTCTGATGCCCACAGTACCATCTCTCATGTCAATTTGGGGTTGAGAAACTTGAATTTGGTGAGGCCTTTAGGATGTAGGACCATTTGGTCAGCAGTGAGTTGTGGTTTTGATATCCTGTTGTCTACTGCTTTGTTCAGAAGAAATCGTCTCTGTGGACACCATGGTAGTCCACAGGGCCAAGCCCTCCAGTCCTACCCAGCATCAGTTAGACCCACTGCTAAAGCCCATGCAGGAGCACCCTGGCAAGGGATGCACAGCTGTGCTGGGTCTGCCCCATGTGCCGTGGCATTCACGGTCATTGATCTGAGATCTGTGAAAGTCTCCAGGTGGATCACCTGTTTAAACTTTAGAAATTTTATGTTAAATAGTTTTTGTACTGTTGAAGTGAAGAACTCCTTTGAAAATTTATTCTGAAATGGCAGTGTTTTTATAGTTATTCCAGTGTGTCTCTTTTTACTTTGGCTCTTAAGAATGAAGGTCTTGAGAAGCTTGTTAACTGTTCTCAAAGTTTTGAGATATGACAGATGTTATGCTGACAGTAGGCTCAAGAAGCTGGCATTTGCGATAGATGATGTATTTCCAGGTGCTTTGAAAGCTTTTCATGGCGCTGCTTGCACACAGTGAGTTTGATGTAATTCCTGTGAATAATTGCTTAACTAAATATTATTTCAAATTCCGGTTACACGTTCTGTCTGCAAAAGTCATTTCCACCTGTGTGGCTGGCTCCTTCCGAGAGGTGCTTTTTCTTTTCATGTAAGCAAGAGAAGAGAAGAAGGAGCCATGGTAAAGGTGAGCTCCTCTTTCAGGAGTTGATGGTGTGTCTGTGCCAGCGCTGCAGACACTCTTGTTATTGGCTCTTCAGGTGTTGCATTCATGGAAAGCGAGTGGCACACAAGCCGGCAGCTTGTGTTGAGGAAAGCCCGGTTCCATTCTCCTGGGGGCTTGATTGAGTTTGAGGGCTTGCTGTGTGGAGGGGGCGCGTGTAGTCATTAATTTGGATGATGGGTCCCAGATGCAGATTTTTTTTAACTGTTATTTTTCTTAATAGAAATTTAAAAGCCTATTGATTCAAGAACTTTCTAAAGTGTTTCCAGAAGACATGGCTAAGTATCGGAGCATCCGGGGGGAGGACCATCCCCCTTCCTAAATGTGTGAAGACTCCTGTGTCCTTCATGAATTGCTGGGACTGAGCCAGCAAGGAGGCTGACCATCAGTGCCCATGTGCCTTCCTCCCATGTGGACTGGTCCTGTGCTCAGCCCCCATCTCCCTCGTTGGATATCATGGGATGGCAGGACTGGAGGAGGAGCAGAGCTGTGCCCAGCTGTCACTGCAGCCTCAGACTGGTGCCCCATATCCTCAAGGCAATTCCTGTCATTCTCTCAATGGGCAAACGGCAGGAAACAGTCCTGAAAGTAGTAAATACGATTGGTATTCTACCTGATAGTTTTCTTTTTATGTACTCTTTCTGTTCCATTCTATTACGGTATCAGAAAGCTTAAAAATTGGTTTTATATTTTACATTTTCAAGTGTAGTACATAAAGATGTGTAGCTGTTTTCATGGATTTCAATTAGATGTGCTTATAATAAAATCTTTTAAGTATTGTATGGCTCATTCCATGTTATTATTACAACATTTTTTACAAGATAAACAGTTATTTTCCCAAAGTGTTAGTGATGTTCATAAAACACTTGCTCTCCAGGCACTTAGGCAGGAAGAGCTAAAGCAAAATGCAGAATGATGGGTTTTCCTACGGCTGCTTTCATGGACACTTTTACAAGAACGGAAGAACCCAGACTTGTGGCACTGCTTGGAAGGCCCTTTGGGGCAGTGTATCTCAGCCTTTGCTGTGTGTGCTGACCACATGTAGACATTGTTAATTGCAGCTTTGGGTTCAGCAGGTCTGGGGGCTGTGAGAGCTGCCTTTCTCATGAGCCCTCAGTGGGGCTTAGGCTGGAGCTCCTGCAGCAGGATGGCAGGGCTGGCTGTTGTAAGGGTAGGGTCCTGCTCAGGGCTCAGTGAGTCTCAGGCTTTAGGATGGGGCTGAGAATCTGCATGGTTATTGCGCTTCCTGTAACTCTGGGCATGCTTAGATTGAGGAATGTGTAACAAAATGTCACAAAAGAGGTAGTTTAACAAAATATGTTTCCCACAGTTCTGTAGTTCCAAGATAACCTCAAGATGGTCTTTTGCTGTGTTGTTCATAAAAGGAAAAATAAAGTACCTTGAGTGCCCATCAGCAATGGCAGAGATAACTGATGGTTTATTTGTTGGAGTGCTAGCCAGTGATTAGGAAAAATGAGGAAAAATGGTTATCGATAGAGAAGGGTCATCAAGATATAGTATGTAATTACAAAACATGGTTGTTCAGGAATCATTAACTAAGGGTCTATGTGCTCTGAGCTGTGTTTGAGTAAGAGTTTCTCCATCAGTCTCCTAACCATTGGGCTCATTCCAGGCCCCTTCCTGGGTAGCTGTAATAGGTCCTCTCTTTCCTCCCAAGCAATGCACTCTGCTGGACCATTCAGAGTTGGGTTCTTCCAAGAGGCTTTCGTTACCCTCCTCTGCCCTGGGCACGCTTATCCACCTCATGGCTTCAGTTGCAATCTTGGGTCAAAATTCCAGGTTTACACCAGTGCCTACATCCCAAGTCCTTCCCACTCAGTCTAGTGCTCACACTGTCCACGTGACTGTCCCCAGAAGCCTCAAGCTTGGTGTCCCTGGAGCTTGGACTAACATCTTTTCCCCAGAAAACAGTTCTATCTTCTTCCTTTCATTGACTTGCATCATCTTTGCCTCCTTTCTTTCACTCCCACTTCTGTCCTCAGGATGAACCCCCCCCAAGTCTTCTGAATTTCCCATTTTCTTCCTTTGCTTTTTTTCTTTTCTTGTTTCCTTTCTCTTTTTCAACCAGCCATACTAGTCTTTCATCCTCTAGTCCAGTATACCACATGCCTGCCTTCACAAAGGCCTCCTCCTCACCTGGCCAGGCTCTCCATACTCAGGCCAGGTTGTACAATATAAAGACACTTCAGTAGCTCACCCAGACCTCAGGCCAGCACTGGTCAAAGTTATAGCAGTGCCAGCCAAGTTTAGAAGTGCTGAGTAGTGCCGTCATACTCAATCCTCTCACTTTACTCTCTTAATGTACCCCACTCCCTGTTTCCAGACTTTCTTTGGGGTACTCTCCTCTCATGGTCATTGGTTATATCCTTATATAATGTACTGTTTCCAACTGTGGTCCCAAAGATGCCATGTCCACATTCTGGTACCTGTGGACAGGGTACCTTACAGAGAGTAAGGTGTTGCAGATGTGATTAGGATAAGGACTTGGAGATGGAAAGTTTTCCTGGTTTTTCAGGTGGGCCCAATGCAATCACCATGGTCATTTCAAGAGGGAGAGAAGAAGTATGGAAGGAAATGAGAGAGAGGCAATGGATGAAGATCCTAAACTGGGTTTGAAGGAAGAAGGGCTGTGAGTAAGGAAGCAGGTGCCCTATAGAAGCTGAAAAAAGCAAGGAACATTCTCCCCTACAACCTTCAGAAGAAAGGCTGCCCTACTGACATCTCGGGACCTGACCTCAAAGCTATAATAGATTCCTGTTTAAGCATGGGGTCATTTGTTATAGCAGCAATATGGAGCAAACTCTCTTACCTGGGCAAACATGAGGTGAGGAACTCGAGATGGAAGATACAATGATAGTAATTGTCTTAGCCTTGTTTAACCTAAGATTCTCGGAGGTAGGAAATCGTCTTACAAAACATTTTGCTGAAAATACTGAATTTGAGGATCTAAGTTTTGATCTGACTTTTGTGAGAATTTTCACTGTTCACTCACCTGAGGTCAAAGGGGCAGCTGGAGGTGGTTCTGAGGGACCCCTGGGAGAGGAAGGGGAAGCAGGGGTTCTGCTTGCTGCCTGGCAAGTGTCTAGGGGCTACCCTAACAAGCCATCATAAACCTGGCACCTGAGATCAGCAGGGAAAGTCACACAGTGAAGAAGGCAGGAATCCTTGCAGATGATCTTGACACACTTCAGCTGGAGGTGGGCAGGACAGGCTGCAGTGCACAGGGATAATGAGGCCAGGGGTGGCTGGCTTGGGCAGCTGGACAGCCATGCACCACCGTGAGGGCCGTGTGGGGCACAGGGAGAGCATCCACCACCTCCCTGGCAGAGCAGAGAGGTGCTCACATTGATGCCCTGGGAGGGGAAGGACTGTAGTGAGGGCCCAAGCTTCCTCCTTGGATACTCAGCCCCCGTGTGTCGGGCTTTTCTCTTCAGCTGGTCAGCAGACAGGTGTGACACACAGGCTCCAGCTTATCATTTACATGAAGCAGTTTCAAAAATTACTCCTTTTTTGGTGCATACAGGCAAACGCAGAGAGATGGAATGCACGCATTCATTTGATTTTAAACCTGCTGAAAAGAGGAGGCGGCTGGGCCAATCCCAGGGCCCTCTGGCTGCACGGTTTCTATGACCCAGACCTTCAGCTTCTGGCTGCTCGGAGTTCCTCACCAGCTCCAGGAGGAGCAGACCCTTAGAAGTCTGCACACCTCAGCTTATAAGCAGCCTAAATGGTATAACCATTTCATTGCAAGGTCAGTTTCTAATCCAGGTGTTTGGTAGACAGCATGTTATTATTTTTCAATGAACATGGTAGTAGCTCTTCAATTTCAACAGACAGAAACCCAGGTCAGCTGGCTTGCCAAGGGTTACATGGCTGACATGGGGGGGGGAAGGAGGAACAAGGTTTCAGCAGCATCCAGACCTCAGCCCTGTGCTGCATCAGTTCTGCCCCTAAAGCTTTTCTGCTCACAGCCTGCATGAGTTTCTTAGGGCTGCTGGACCAACTGCTACAACTTCAGCACAGCCTGAGTGGCAATTTGGAAAAGATCCCTGACTCTTAGGTTTGGGATCCCCAAGCTGGCCATTTGGAGGTATTCTACCCCAGTGGGCAGAGCTTGACGCCCAGCTCCTCCACCTCACCCAGAGCCTTGCAAGCCCTAGCTGCTGAGCCTGTCCCTGCCCCTTCAGTGGCCCTGATGATCCCACGAACTGACTTGTGAGGCAGATGCATCAGCCTCCATGGTGTTGCTGTGAAAGGTGGCATTGGCTGCTACCTCCCTGGAGGCTGAGGTCAACTTCACTGACTCCACAAGAGACACTGACCTGCCTCACCAACTCCTCTCCGTGCAAGCAGAGCTAATGGGAACTGGTCAGTGACTGTCAGGCACCGTGAATAGGTGTAGGGGTGTTACCTTGGTTAAGCTCCAGACCTACTTCCTGAAGTCTCCCACCCCCATTCAGAAGGGAACTGATGCCCAGACAGGGAAGGGGTGGTTTCCAGGGATCCCAGTGGGAGAACTCAGGCTAGATTTTACCAGGTCTGCCACTCAGATGGTCTTAGGTAAGAGGACCACCTTCTTGACCTGGCACGGAGGGTGCTGAGTGGGAGGGAGCGGGGAGTGGAAAGGGTCGGACACATGGTTTGGGGGACGCTGCCTTGTCCTATGACGGGGTCACAAGTGGGTGGCCATGCTAGCAGCAAGTGAGCTAAGAAAACTTGCCTTTCATGGGATCTCTGAGCGCTGTACACTGAATTCACTGGGCTGCTCAGTGCTAGATGGAGGGATAGTGGGAGGTGAGTGGATTGTGAGAAGACACCATATGCAGGAGCAGGTGCAAAGGTGATCACCGCTCCATGTGGAAACCTGCATTCATCTGAGCTGAAAGCCATGTTCGTGCTAGCAGGGACAGAATCCCACGTGAACCTCTGCTCCAGCCCCAGATGCCCAGCTCTGTATAGAAGGTGGTCTTGGAAAAACAGAGCTAGCTAAAGTAATATTAAAGTGATTCATTTCAATAGAGCAAAGTGTGTATATGCGTATATGTGTATCTATGTGTATGTATTTCTGAGCTCCCTCTCTGAGCTGTGTGTGTACATTATGTAACACGGGAAGTCATTCAGTGTGACAGGGAAGTCAGGATAATTTGGGCGGTTGACAGTTGAGGACGTGGGCTCGTGAATGGGAGACTGCATGGAGTTGAAGAGTGTACCCCAACACTCATGCCTACCTTTGATCTCCTATCTCTGCCTCCTGAGTAACTGGGATGACAGCTGTACATCACCATGCCTGGTCCCGGAAGCAGGTTTTGTAGGTGTAAATAGTTAAGTTAAAATGAGGCTAGGCTGGCTTAGAATAAACCTGAATCCCATGACTCGTGTCATCTGAAGATGGTGGCACAGACAAGTGATGCTCCCCTAAGTCAAAGCACAGTGGCGTGCTCTAGGCTCCCTGAGCTGAGAGAATCATGGAGGGCTCTGCCCTGGAGCCTTCAGAGAACACCGCCCCGTGGACACTGGGAACACAAACGTCAGGCAAGCTCCAGAAGTTTGAATAAATTTCTGTTATCTGAAGTCATCCAGCTCATGACAGTTGGTTACAACAGTCCTAGAAAAGTAAGAATCTGAAGAAAGAAGCAGGAGTGGCACAAATGGGTCAGTGCGGGAGAGCTACATCCGTGGGGAGCTCCAGTGCTGAAAGTCAGGGAAGCCTTGTATCAAATAGGTGCTCGCTGACGGTTCGGGTTAGTCGCAGCATGCCTTGCAGCAGGTGCTTGGCCATGGCAAATGCTGGGCT